TGCTTTTCTCCTCGGTGGTTGTTAGCCGCTCCTGTATTCTAGACTTGATATTATTTTGATATCACAAGGCCAGCGATAAATATACTTCTTCTTCCAGAACAGTCTTTTCTTCGACTTCTGGATTATCGGATTATTTACCTTAGTAATTCCGCGAAGAAATATACTTATTTTAGTTCCCTATAAGCTTTTGATAAAAAAGTTATACAGTGATAAATTATAATCATCTATATTTTCTTACAAACTTTACTCCGTTTACTGAGCTTTCGGTTTCAGCGTACAGACCTCCAGCTTCTTACTTAAACTTCTCTGCTATCCACTTGACACTCTCCGAAACTCTTTCTTCTTCGAAGCTGTACGTTTATTTGGATTAGTTTTAACATGGAAATGGATTGCCGTAAATGATTGCCAGTCCATATTACCGTTTTCTAATTTGAGGGTTATTTTTACTAACTCAGTCGTTAAGAAGGGGTATAGCGAGTTTCCACTCTGACAGTTGTTGCAGGTAAAAGCATGAGAATTAAAGATAGGTTGTGGGGTGCAAAATCTTTTACTGAAACATTTACTGATAATTCTAGGGTTAAGTGATTGTCTGGCGTACGTACTCTTTCATTCGTTTACTGATCAGTACTTCCATCACCTTTAGTTCGCACAAGTGGTGTAACGACCAAACATCCGTTAACGGTACTATCCAGTGTCTTATCACAGCACAGAATTGAAAAATCAAAGTTTGTTGGATCCGACAAAACAAATTTTTTAGCTTAAAGCGTGACTTTAATAACACTTATTGAACTACGTCAAGAGATACTGTTCTCAATTTTATTGGTACTATGTGAGGAATTAAAACTAAATAAATAAAAAATTAAAATATATCTCTTCAAATGGTATAGCTTGTGCTTCTGCCATGAAAATCTTCCTGCTAATAATGAATATTTGTCAAAATATTCTTCGATATTTGAACAAATATTTAAAAAAAATTGGGGGGCGTATTTACAGAACACATCTGGATGAATCGTTGAATTTATCTAAAATTTAAATTCTTCAGATTATCTCAAGCATAAGAAGTGTTTCATGTATTAGTTAACGGTACCTGCGAGCGAGTGACAGCATTATCAATGAGATAGTATTGCATATCTAGCTATAAGATTTCAAGCAACTGATTTTGTCAGGCAGTAAAGGGTCAACAGTCATCAAACGAACCATGCTGTACCGTTGCGTTTATTCAACCACGACTTCATTGTCAGAGACTCTGCAACAAACAACGGAAAATTGGACTAGTTTAAGCGAACATGAACTAGAGTCGAATGATAATGTCTGTGAAACATGAAACAAATTTCCAGGACTCCTTGGTAAGAGCTAGATGCAAAACGTGAACATGTAACCAGGAAATCACTGTGTTGTCCAGAGGAGCGCCATGGAGTGAAGTTCAGCACATCCTTTCCGTCACATAGGCCACCAAGATCTGTCCAGACACTTGAAGACACCTATGAATGCACTGAGCCCTGGCTGTGCTAACTAACTTATCAATGTTGATGTAAAGTACAGTACCAAAAACAGCACGCCTATACATCCATAAATCCTAATTTTAACCTCTAATTGTTACGATGTCCTCAGAAGACAAGGTACGATTTTGTTAACAACCCTTTCTTTCATATGTATCACCACAGTTATTACCAGAGCATCTTTATCATTCTTAAGTCTGCATGATAACGAAGCCATTTCAGTGTTGCTTGAAGCAACGAGACGTAGCCCTCCACCATATGAAACCAGAATACATTGGATGAGTAGCTAACCTTTCTACATCGTCTCAAATACCCATTTGTAGTTATGCATTCCACCCCTAAACTATCACAGTCTCTAAATGGCAACAGGGTGTTGGGCTTGAGAGTTAAATTGCCGATTCTACTCTCTGTCTGAGGATTATAGGGCTGACATTGTCGCATCCTAGTGACGTTCCTGTGCACAAGTATTTGAGTTGTCTCTGTAATAAATGGCAAGTAAGTTGAGTACTCCCCAGGCTATCACATGGGAATGGAACTGATTGGAGCTCAGAGCTTATGATTACGTGTCACAACTTGTTGTTAAGGCTGATAATAACTGCCTCAGCCGCCCCTAATTCGGTAAGCTGTTTACCATTTAGATCGTCGAAAGCACAGCATCCTGGTGAGTGAACATTCTATTAGTCCTAAGGCTGAAAAGATATTTTGGCAACTAGCTTCGCCTTGGAGTATCTCGTTGTATTTAGCTTTGTTCTAAGTTATTTCTTCCAGTTATGAAATGGTCATAATTTGTTGGCCTTCATCACTCTTTCGGCCATGGGTGTCTAGAAGATGCTTTCCCATGGCCGCGTGGTTTGTCTTAGTGTAGCGAAGGTAGCGAGAGATCTCTTCCTCATCTCACAAACATTTCGTTTCTGACCATGGTAAACATGACCACGCCATGGTCACTACTTCCTGCTGGTATAGGAACATTGGCATAGTCGAGTGCGGGCTGATCATTAGTTAGTGAATAACCCAACTTTGATGGTTCTCCGTCCTTACTCTACCTAGTGACATCACACATATATTTGGTCTCCAAAATCTCTAATGGCTTTGACAAGCGGCTTTTGGAACCGTCTTGTGAGAGTTGTACCCTACTTGAGTAGATTTAGAGACCGAGCGTTGAAGTCCCCAGCTGGTAATGCTTGGTTGAACTCCTCGAGCAACCCATCTACACAGGCTTAAGTACCCGAAGAGGGCCAGTAATTACTATCAATCAAGTACTTGGTACCACTCGTGTTGAAGAAACACCAGTATGATTCCGTCACTTCAGTTGGGTAGGGTATGGTGTTACATCTTTGAACAGGTTGCCAGTGTGCAGTCCCAATTCACCTCCCACTTTCTAGACATCAACACATCTGAAGCGCATCACACTCATCAAGAATACTTTGTCAACTGCAATGTCCTAGAATAGCCAAGTTATGGTTGGAACTATGATATTCAATCTCGCCTGAGGGCACATGTTTCTGGTTCATTCTGATTTACCCCCTGGTACTTTTACATTACTAAAGAGGCGAATGATGGCTTGTATTGTCACCTGGTACGCCTACGTATCAGCATCCGTCCTTGAATTTTCAAACAAGCCGATTAAACCGGGTCGACAAGATCTATAAAAACTGACCACTGTAAGGTATTTGTCTGTGAATGTATTCCATTCCAGTAGTCGTTTGAGTACAATCTGCATCAACAAATTTTTTTTTCTCTGTAGGATTTTGCAGGGCAGAGATAAAATGATGAATACATTCCTAAAAAATTTGGTCCCTTCTATAAATTTTGATAGGACAGTTAGAAGACTTAACTGATCTGAAAAATTTGATGTATTTGCGCTATACATTTCGAACAATTCGGTCACACATACTTGTAAAGGCATTTCGTATGGAGATCAATGGAAAATCAATCAAATGGTAACTCAAACACACGTAAGGTGATCATAGTAAATGAAGGAGAGAGAAAATTAATATAAAATGAAGCGAATAAGTAAGGGTAGGATATTGTCACATTACCCCAGGCATAAAGATTACTAGGATAAAATCAAGGTTACAAAAAACTCTTTATGCACACATATGTGGGGCCCTTATTTACGAATAGCCAAGGCCTCTATGAACTTCAAAATTCGTCCTTCGACAATTCTATACAATGTTTTGAAGTCTGTCTTCATATCGATCTTATGCCTTGTCCCAATTATGTGTTTTGGGATAGATGGAAGTGGTTTTCTATTTTCCACGCCAATCAGCTCATCTGACGTTAACTGATTTTGAAGCCTTTAAGGAGCATGTTCCATAACCATTAATTGCAATATTCGATTACTCTTCCCTATGTATTCGTCCACAAAAACATGGAAATTGATAAATGCAGTGTGATGTGATAAAATCATTCGAGTAACATTTAGGTCTATGTGAAATCATAGGCTTAGTCTTTTCAATTATGATCAGTTTTGCAGCGTTATATGTTTTCTCTATAGCCGCTTTTAGTCAATGTCTTAAGATTAGGCCGTTTTTTTCACCTCTAACTGGTAAAGTGATATAAACTTTTCTCTGCAGAATGAAAAACAGGCCATTGTCTCAACTGATTTCCACATCTGTTGACGATTTTTAGCGGATAGCCGTTTGAAATCAATGATTCAGTTAAGAATTTTGCATCTTCAAATGTATCCATGAAACAAATCCTTTGTGCCCTATTGAAGAGGCATTTCACCAAACCTCACTTATATTGCAGTGAACATAAATTGCTGAAATTTAAATGCTGTCCAGTTCAGGTTGGTTTTCTATAAACAGAACGCTTTATAGTTCCATTCTCCCTTCGACTCAACGGTATGTCTAAAAATGGTATTTGTTTACTATTTTCTGTTTCGTCGGTTAGTACAATGTCTTTCTGGAGACTTTTGAAGTTATCCAGCAACTGAGAGATGTTAAGTTCTTAATCGCATATAGCTACAACATCATCCATATATCCCCTATACAGAGCAAGCTTGTTGATGTTCTCATTCCACAAATTTTCAGCATGTGCCATATATACGTCAGCTAAGAGAGGTCCCAATGGACTACCCATAGCAACGCCATCAACTTGCTGGAAATGTTCATCATCAAACGTGGAATGGACTTTCTCATTACATAATAAAATGAATCCTCTTAGTATAGTTGAATGACTAGAATTAAAAACTATCTTAAATATGACAAAGAATTTTTAGGTATGAAAACGATCGCAAGAAATTTATGGTACAAAGTTTAGCCTAAATAATTTTAACTTTGATCCAGAATGAAACTTCTTGATGTTGTTAACAACCTAGACTTCTAAATCTACTGCTATCCAGAAACCTTACTTTCCTGAAACAAATGTACTTATTCAAATCAGAGGACATACAAACTCACAAACAACTGCCTATTGACTACAATTGGCTAAACCTCCATCCATTGGAACCGTATTTAAAGAACAAGAATCGAGCGAAAATAAATCAGTTGGTTTACACTAGCCCGCGAAAAAGATATTGAAATTTGGACAACAAATGTGACCAACAGTACCTTTACAAAAGTGACGTTTCAAATTTCCCCACTATGAATAATGACAACTCATACAGTCTTTCATGCAGAAAGTCCTGTATTAAATATCTCCTCAAAGCAAAAGCGATTGGCGCAAATATTCTTTGGTCCATTTAGACGCTTCAATCACAATGGGAAGAAACGTCAGGATAAACGTTTACCAGCTTCTAAATCAACGGATAATGAAAGTATTGATTTAGATGACAAAAATGGTCCTAAAGTCGTACAGGTATTCACCTGTTCCAGCATAAGTAAGTGCTTCAAATCTTGTTTCGTCTCTATACAATCTAGTCTTGTAAGCTAACTGAAGACTCGTAAGACCCTTTTTTCTTTGTCTAAAAAAATATTTCTCAGTTCTTGCTCGGAACCAATAGTTAATATAATGACTTTTATTTATCCGTTTACTCTCACTCACTAATTCGCACTGTAAAAACTATATTTCAAGTCTTACTTGATGTTTATAGCTTGGCAGTTGGAAAACTCCGAAAGATCTTATCCTCATATAGACTAAATAACCGACAGTTTTAGCGACGAGTATTAAGAGTATATATTATCTTTCGAAGATTTCGTCCAGCAGTGTTACTATGTTAATCAATATGGTTTCAGCGTTAGTCATTAGTTACCAAAAAGGAAATGACCGTCGGCTGCATTCTCAATACATCAATAATTAATTGGGTCTAATACCTATCATAATTTATTTAGTTTACTTGTACCCATCACAATCAAGTTATTGCACAGTTGACGTAACAACCATCGAGGTTTATGTCTACCACCATATGTGTACACAATATTGACTGCTATTAATCTATGCAATTACTGTGTTGGATTGTTTCACCAACAAGAATGTATGTAGATTACAGAAATTCTAGTCACGTCTGTCAAATATTTGAACTTTAGCATTTGTATTCTAGACCACTACTCTGTAGTTCTTGGCAATAGGACTGATTTCAACTCTTTGAACAAGATAGTTGTTTTGAGACAGGTTGGAATAATATCAAAAAGGCTGTGGAAACAGCAGTGATATCTGCTAGTAAGGTAAACCATGAGGCTAGAATGAAGCCGTGGATCTCAGTAGCATCCACCGAACTGATGGATGCTCGAAAGCTTATCCCGCCTGGCTCTGAGTGCGATGAAGAGCGGAGTCAGCTTAGATGCAGGCTGATAAAAAGCCTACGCAATAATCGAGAACAGTGGTGGGTGGCGAAATCGAGGGAGATGGAAAAGGCGGCGGCAATAGGCAACAGTAGGCGACTATTCAGACTCATCAACGAAACCGGTATTAGGAACCCTACTGTGAGTGAGACTATTTCGGAAAAAGATAGTCTTATTATCCATTCTCAATCCAGGAGACTGGACCGATGGGCAGAACACTTTAGCGGTCAGTTCAACTGGCCTTCAGCCACACTTCGGTTACCCACGATCTCCAGTCATCCTGAATGGCAAATTGACGTAAGTCCTCCTAGTTTTAATGAAGTTGAAAAAGCTATAGGAAATCTAAAGTGAGGTAGAGCAGCGTGTCCTGATAGATTGACTCCTGAGATTTTTAAGGATGGTGATCCAGTTTTAGCAGCTAGGTTGATTGAGATCTTATATAGAATCTGGGAACTGGACACAATCCCATCCGACTGGTCTCAATCACTGATTGTCCCAGTCTATCAGAAATGATAAAAGTCCTTTTGTGACAATCACAGGGGAACAAGTCTAACTAATATATTTTCTAGATTGTTAGCCTCGATAATACTTCGACACCTAAGTAGAGCTCGTGAAGAGCAGACTCGAGAAAACCAGGTTGGTTTCAGACCAGGACGTGGCTGTATAGACCACATTTTCACATTACGACCGGTCCTGGAACACAGACACACAATTAGGCGTCCTACAATAGTTGTTTTCCTAGACCTTAAGGCGGCATTTGTGAGGTTCTTTGGCAGCACCTGTCATTGAAAGGTGTACCAGAGAAGTACATTAACCTTATACAAGCTCTCCACTCGAACACCACTGGTCGAGTGAGAGCTTATGGCGAACTGTCACCGGAATTCTTTACTTCAAGTGGTGTCCGTCAGGGATGTCCACTCTCTCCATTCTTGTTTAACTTTTTTGTAGACATGCTTTTACAGGTAATATAATCATCGTCTGACTATTCAGGAGTCAACTTTCTACCAGGAAAATCGCTTGCTGACTTAGAATACGCCGATGACATAGTCCTACTTGGTGAAGACACTAACAAAATGCAGCGTCTTCTGGTTACCCTAAGCAACAATGCAAGCATGTTCGAGATGCGGTTGCTCCAGGATTGGCTTGCGACGGCAACCAAACTAGTGATAGGGAGGGAATGATGTAGTTTAGCGTGTTGACCGCTTCACTTATCCTGGGAGGCTGATCAGTGCTGATGGCCTGGTGACTGACGAAATCTCAGCACAGATACAGAAAGCTCGATTGACTTTTTCCAAACTTCGTCACTTATAGCGTAGGCGCGATATTTGTTTGCTAACCGAAAGACGAGTGTACTGTGCAGCAGTTCGCTCCGTCCTACTATACGGATGTGAAACAGCTGTTGAGAGTAGAGGACATTCGTAGATTGCCTGTCTTCGATCACAGATGTCTTAGAAGCACTGTTCGAGTATCGTGGGACAACTAAGTGGGTAACGCTATCGTTAGGGAGCGGTTACTAGATAGGGTTGGCAAATGAAAGACGAAGTTTTGAAACTTCATCACTTGACGTGGTTGAAAAATGTGTGACGAATGCCCAACCACCGACTGCCTCGATGAGTTATGTTTTGTGGTGTAGGAGTAGGTTGGCAGAAAGCTAGGCGCGGCCAGACCAAAACATGGCACAAATGCATGAAACCACTGACGAATGGACTGAGTCATGTTGGTAGATGTAAACTACCTGGTTGGGGTCCGCGAGATGAAAGTCACCGATGGTTAGAGACGTTGAACGACATGACTCAGAATCGTTTGCAATGCCGCAGGTGCATCCACTATTTGTGTTCTCTCGAATTCTAACCTTCTGAATTCTTCATAATCTCTACCTTTCTCCTTCTAAATTTATCTTGCTGAATTATACTTTTCGAATCATGTCTTTGCTCCCTAATCTTCTCCATTACTGCTAATACTTCTACTATCTCTACCACTATATGATTTAAATCGACAATGGGGTCTCTGTGTTAATGTGGTATGGCAATCTGAAGTGATTTACTTGTGTACGAAGTTCTACGTTGTATCTGTCTGTCGACCAGCAGAAAAACGGAATGATGAGAGGAAGCAACCTTGTGTGATACCGGTCTTCACTTGGAAATGATGCGAGCTGCCATGCACGATTCTATAACATCCTCGGTCTGTGCTATTAAAGGCCTTCTCAAAGTCAAGAAAGTTGGTGTCAGTTGATCAGTCCCATCCAATTGATTGATCAGTATTCATGTTTAGTTGTAAGCCCATTCTGTTCTTAATCTTGCTTTTCCAGGTGACTGAAAATAAGGCACGTATGTATATTATTGCTATTCTACATATGTCTCAGTTCCTTTTCATTAATAATTCAAAGTAAACTGCAATATTTTGACCTATTCGATAATGTGATCTTCTGCTCTCTGATATCACAACTGGATACGTCTTATCTGTCACTATCATGCTTTTCTGATTTTACCTCGGGCGGGGTTTAAACCTATGGCTTAATGACTAAAAGTCTGACATAATAAAAACTTAGCCATCTATCAACTTAAGTTTCCCAACTACATATATATATATATATATATATATATATATATATATATATATATGGGAGCTTTGCAACGTTAACATATTGTTGTCAATCTTTGGTCAAAGTAAATCCATATATTTTTCTGCGATCGGTCCCTTCATTCATTTCGTTTTCAGATAATAACCTAGTCATATGAAATGGCACATACGCCTTACGATACTACTCACTGCAGCATCTTCAGCTAGATATAAGCACAAACTTTTATGAACGTTTACGAATCCCACAAAAGTTTATTGGTCATCGTTTAACAGCCAGAATTTGAAACAACGAAGTTTTTAATTTTAACTAAACAAAAACCTAAAATCTGTCTTTACATGTGAGGTACCAATCACATACCAAAATATACCCACAAACTAAAACTTTAACTGAGTTTTGACCAACATAAGTGAAAATAACAACTAATAGAATTTAAAATACTAAAATAAATAAAATGCTTTTGGAACTCGACCATAACTAAAATACTCCCCGGTTAAGGTTTAAAAACTAGATTGTAAATGGAAACTTCCTTCGTCGGGAAAATGATATACACAACTTGTCAAACAGTTGTGATTTATAAGCTTGTATGTGCCTTGTGACCTACATGGTTGAGCAGTCACTAAAAATGTATTCGGAATCCCAAGTCTGAGTTTATGGAACCAAGCATACTGTCATAACATTCTGCACAAAAACCAAACAAAAAAGAGCAAATATTGGGGTATAAAGCCTGTTACTACTGGAATGTAAGATAGAGGTGAATTTGCGCGGTTGGTTTTACTAGAATATGAGAACTTCGGTTTCTTCTGAATCTGATTATTCTCATATTTCAAAATACAAGATGTTCTCCCCTAATTCTTGAAGTGAATAATCAAACAAGCACTACTTGTTCCTTCAGCCTTCGATATCTCCCCAAGTTTTGTTTCTCATATATTTTGTTTTGTAGTAATCATGAATTACTAAGGGTAGTTGTTACGGATGAGGGTTACCACGTCACTTGATATGCGTGAACTATTACGAGTTCACCTTAGTCGGTAAGCGAGAGCGAGGATCGATGATCCGGCGACACGACAGGCTACTCTTATCCCAGCGTCCCGAACCCCCACTGAGCAGCAGAAGAAGACTTGATATGAAGTAGAATGTGTATTCTACAAGCATCCAGAAAGTACGAGGTCCGAGTCCAGAAAATGATGAAGATCCCGGACTAGGGATCCGGGTCATAAAATGTTACAGATTATGCATATTTATACAGTTAGGTCGAATAGGAAACAACGTGTAAGATATGTAACATTGATAGTTAGGACGACCAATAGGAAACAACATTTGAAGTAATATTGATAGGACGACCAATAGGGATTGACCAATAGAATTAGACTTTCAAATAATTCTTTTAGGATATTTGATGAATATCCTAACAATACTGACGGGCGAAGATTATATATATTGAATTGGTAATTAAAGTTCAAAAGTTAGCCTCGATCATAAGTCGTTTTTTTAATGAATTATCCAAAACTTTAGAATTAAAAGTCTTCAGATCCTCAACGAATACAAGATATCCTTCCAGTTTGACTGAGGATTTTTTGGTTTCATCTCCATCCTCGACAAATGATTACTAAATGGGTCGTAAGTCACCTTATTACTTGACGTAAATTTTAGATTTGTTTCCATTCAGCAACTTTCACAACAAAAGTAAAACAACAATATAAAATATCAGTGTTCCTTTTAATCTATGAGAATGAGGATCTGTCTTGAGCGTTATTTTTCATGAATGTTATTTCGTTAAAAAAGTATCTTACTCACTGGATATATCAACTAGTTCATTTGTTTGAGTAGAGTTGCATCATCATTAGAGGTTTAAGGTTCTACGAAATTTAACGGTATATACAATTGTCGTTTTGTAATAGGCTTTGGTCGGAATACTTCGTTATTGCTAGCCGAGATTTCGATTATTTGTGTATTACGTAGGTGTGTTAATGTCCAATCTAAATAAAATATTTTCTTAAATAACCTAAAACGCTTGTTCCATTGTATTATATTTTCACTTATTAGTTGAACTATGGATTTACTCTGTCCTTTCATGAGCAAATAACTTATTCGCTGCGTGTTTTCTCTTATGTTAGTTGATAATATGATATGGAAAAATAGAATTAAAACAATACATAGAACTGAACAATATTGTTTTCGATTAGATCGTCATCAGGCTTTACTCTAATATATATGAAAATTTATATAGAAATGTTAAATCAATTAGGGCAATTTACGTGTCAATAATCATAATGAAATAGATTATGTCACTACACATAATAGGCAAAAGTACAAGTTGATAGTAGGAAGACAGGTGTACTGATAGTAGTAAGAATAATAAATTACTATAACAAGAGTTTTACCAATAGTTCGACATTGGAAATGGTAGGCCAAACGTGGATTAATAAACGTAATCGTTACAAAATAAGAAGTGTGTAAATAGTTCGATAGTGAAGACTATAAACGGAAAGAGGCAGAAAATCACAGACAAATACAGAATGTGAAAAGAAGTTGGAGACTCCGACCGTTCGAAAGAAGTCTTATTCATTAATCTACAAATCGACGGGGATGTGGCTGGCGATACATTGCAGAATAGAGTAAGGAAAGTAATTAGTAGGACATTCTGTGCTGACAAACATCCGTTGACCTCCTCATTGTGCATTTACAAATTCAGCTGCTCTTATGGAGATAGCTAATATCGGGTTTGAATATATCCCAGCATGTTTAATGAAGGGCCGGATAAAAACAATACGCAGTTTTATCTTGGCCCATCTGATTGATAGTGGTCATAATGTAGATAAATCTAAATCATTTTGAGTGATCCATTGTATACCTCCATCATTTCCCGACGAAGTTCGATCCCGTCTCCTACATATATCAGAAACCATGGCAATTCGAATATTCAACCCCAATTTATGTGTTCAGAGAGAATTCGTGACATACCTATCCCTTCCGTTGCCAGATGTATCTTAACAAAAAATTTTTATTTTTGTTATCATTGGCATTATTTTCATATCCAGTATTTGTTGATAATTTTCTGCCTCTTTATTATAATGCTGCTACGTAGCTATTCAAATCCTACCGACGTCCGAATTCAAATATTCCAAAACAACCCAAATACTATTCCCAAATCTCCTATATATCAGAATGCAACACCGTTGGATGGAGTTGTTTATTGGGTCGAGTACAGAAGAGAGGTAGGCAGGAAGGAACGGAATCGGAATCATGAAGTCTTACAGATAGTGCGTATTTATACATTTAGGTCGAATAAGAAAGAGTATCGAAGTCTGTGACATTGACAGTTAACACGACCAATAGGAAAGAACATTTGAAATGACATTGACAGTCCAGATGAGTGTGGTGCGAGCTACTTATAAGTAGTATATGACGTGAGTGTCAACGTAATGTCTGGCAGCATAATATGGAGGAAGATCAAGAAAGGAAGAGCTAGAAAACAATGGAATTTGTATGAAACACATGAACAGTGACATTGGATTGATGTTTTGCAACAGGAACAGCCCAGTTCGATATGATGAACTGATATTTTGCAAATTAACGATTAACGATATGGTTTTCCGATTTTACTGAGTAACTCTGTAATTTCGCTAAATACAATTCGGTTGCCCCACCTGCGTTCTCCTTCACTACATGACCAATCAGAGACAACATTGAAGTATTTGACTTTGACAGTTAAAACGACCATATTTTTGACCAATAGGATTATGCTTCCAAAAATAGTACTCTTAGGATATTTGGTGAATAATCCTAACACTCTTTCCGTTTATAGTCTTCACTATCGAACTATTTACACACTTCTTGTTTTGTAACGATTACGTTTATTAATCCACGTTTGGCCTACCATTTCCAATGTCAAACTAATGGTAAAACTGTTGTTATAGTAATTTATTATTCTTACTACTATCAGTACACCTGTCTTCCTACTATCAACTTGTACTTTTGCCTATTATGTGTAGTGACATAATCTATTTCATTATGGTTATTGACTCGTAAATTTAATCAAGAGCTGTTCTTCCTGGTAATCAACTGCCAAGTAAATCATTAGTCATTTCGTCACTAAAGATACTGTATATAACTTTCTTAAAGTTTATTACCAGTTAAGGTTTAGTGTTGATTATTATCCTTTTATTTCCTTCCATTCGTTGATGATAGTAAGCTGTAGTTTATGCGTCCATGTAGTCAACTTTATCAATGACTCATAGGTTTGAAGTATTCTGAAACCCCTTTATATAAAAAGCATTTTCAGTAACCGTTACTCATTAGATTCGGTTGATGACCTATGTCATACTTCTTCATGTAGTCGCTTTGTTATGAATTTTTAGTCCCATGGCTTATAACAAATATTTTCGTAGTTTTTTCATCAGTAATAAGTTTTTGTTAGTTATATGTTACATCCTATAAGATAACACAATGCACGTCGTTTTTCTCTTTTCTTTTAGAATCATGTCCTAAAAGCGATTACCAACTAGGAAAGTGCTCTATTCCAATAGTTCATCTTGAATCACATGTTAATCATGGCTATACGGTAAGCTCTATTTTGATTTAGTTACCATATATTATACAGACTTCTGTAACTCAACCCCACCTCACCGAAGCCCGTAATTCTGTGACTAAAATGAATACTTATGTGGAAAAGCAGAATATTGATTCTTCTTCAAGTATCAATTCGAGCTTAATAGCTCAATCTTCACAACCTCTTAAAAACTTAGACAACATAGAAAATAATATCACATGTCAACGAGTTACCAATTCTCAATTAACACCGGTTAGCCAGAACAGTTTAACTAGCATTTCTGACATATCCAATCAAACATCGATTAATAAATCGAAGTAATTGAACTGTTTTGTTACTGTTATAAAATTATCCTTTGTTTATTGTAGATTTGTGTTTAACTAGTATATATATGTATATATTCGTTTTTGTATGCTGTTGTTAGAAAACTACACCAATATTATTTAAATATTATTTCCAGTCATTTCAGTTTTTTTTTGAAGTCATGATTGATACGCTGTTTTCATAAATATACTAGTTTACCCTTGGAACACAATGATAATTAAATGAAATTTGCAAGGATAGTAATTAAATTTATAATTAGTAGCAGAATAAAGTATAGATCTTTTATTATTTTTTTGTACTAACTGATCCTTAATTGTCATCAAAAAATAGTATTGGGAATTTCCAAACTCACGAATATCAGGGTTTCTCCTAATTCATGTAATGATGCGCACTTCTTATGATATCTTTTTCATCGATGTCATAGTATATAACAACTATTAGCAGTTTAATAGTAAAATAATGACACAGATGCGCCTTTATGAATAAGTGTATGTATGTGTTATTCCTTTTTAAAGAAAGCTTTAACTGTATATAATTTCAAGTTGCAATTTATGTCTTACCAGGGTGTTAAGCTAAAAATCTTGTATCAGTCCATGATATTTCAATCAAATTGTTATTTAAACATTAGATTAATCTACTGTAATTTTATTAATGCTCTTAGGAAAATTATTCAATCACAAGGCGTTTATTTTTTTCCGTTAGCTTATTGGACGTAATGATCTTGTTAACTATTCTAAATAAATTTAGAGCTAGGGTAATTTTTTGCATTGTATGGTTATGCACGGAGTTGAAATCAATATGCCAATTTGAATTTGTCGGTTTCCAGTACATAGTTAAACTTAGATTTCCATTAGAATTCTTTCAACATATACATTCTAAGAATTTGAGTTCAATATGTTCATCTTTCTACTCCTCGTCTGAATTTTCAGGAGTAGACCTTTTACCAGGTGGCTCGCTTATTGACTTACAATATGCCGATGACATTGTCCTAATTGGTGAAGACGCTGACAATATGCAGTCTTCTGACCACCCTAAGCAACAATGCAAGCATGTTCGGGATGCGGTTCTCACCCTCGAAATACAAAATGTTGCTTCAACACTGGGTTTCATCGGCATCTGAACTAGTGATAAGGAGTGAAGTAGTCGAACGTGTAGACCGCTTCATTTATCTGAGGAGTCTCATCAGTACTGATGGCCTGGTGTCTGAGGAAATCTGAGCTCGGATACAGAAGGCTCGATTGGCTTTTGTCAACCTGCGTCACCTGTAGCGCGGTCGAGATATCTGTTTGCTGATCTAAGGACGGGTGTACTGCGTAGTAGTTCGCTCTGTCCTACTTTATGGCTGTGAAACATGGTCAGTTAGAGTAGAAGATATTCGTAGGTTACTGGTTTTCGATCATAGGTGTCTTCGAAGCATTGCTCGTATATCGTGGGACACCTGAGTAAGCAATGCTGTTGTTAGGAAACGGGTGCTTGGTAAGGATGGCCGATCAATAGATGAAGTGCTGAAATTTCATCAATTGACCTGGTTGGGACATGTGGTGCGTATGCCTAACCACCGACTGCCTCGATGAGTTATGTTTTGTGGTGTAGGAATAGGTTGGAAGAAAGCTAGGGGCGGCCAAACTAAAACATGGCAGAAATCCATGAAGTCATTGACGAGTGGACTTAGCCATGTCGGTAATTGCCGACTACCTGGTTGGGGTCCGCGAGATGATAATCGATGGTTAGAGACCTTGAATGACATGGCTCAAAATCGTTCGCAATGGCGCCGGTGCATTTATGCTTTGTGTTCTCTCAAATCCTAGTCTTCTGGGTTCTTCAACAACTCTAGTTTTGACTTTCTAAACTTTTCTCATTCAAGAAGTAGCTTCTTGAATAATGTCTTCTAATCGTAACCTCTCCGATTACTCCTGATACCTTTACTACCTCTTCTACTATTGGATTTCAATCCACAATTATATCTCTGTGCTTATGTGGTATGGCGACATGTACTGATGTACTTACGTACGAAGTTCTACGTTGCACCTGACTGACTGACTCTTTCTAATCGAAGGTGAATTTGATATTTTCTGAGAAAGTGTTTATTGAGTTAAAGAATTTTCTGAAGAGAGTCTTCCTAATAATGACAAATGTGTTACCTACCTATTTGAACCAGATACATGATCTAATGGTATTGGCGAAAATAAGCGACTCACTATAAGACAAATAAATTAGCAACAATCGAAGACACATTAGATCCCATGGCCCTTCCATCTGTTTTTTTAAAATATGAAGGTGAAAAAAGGTTGAGTTAAAGCATAGTTTGAAAGCTTTCATGATTAAAATAATAGCTAATGAATATCTGCTAGATAAAGCATTTCCATTGTCTAATCGCAGCTTAACTCACGTTGGTTTGCTAGCCGCTTCGCAATTTTGATTTGATGGATTTCAGAGTCTTTCATAAGCCTAGAATGTGGGACGCACATTGCGTTTCGTTTGCAACTCGTTTCTACTGAGATTTGGACCCGGTGCTCCCTAGTTAGGAAAACGAAAACCTATTGGTTGAAAGCATAGTACTTTAAATAATTAAACATTTTTAGTGAATAGATTATGATTTAATATTTAACTCAGTCATTTGCATTCAGCACTATGTCCATATGAACCTAACATGTATTAAAAGAATCTTTTCAGTTGGATTGTTGATTTACATGGGACTAAATGCTCAGCGAGTACTACAGGTATATACGAACCGTTCCACTGACCTTTCTATTTTTTCTGTAACTTTCAAAACTACTTTATGTTTAGAAAATTGGCCAGTTACTGTCTTTTGGTCTAGAATGCTTTCTACGAGCGAGTGAAGTCTTTCCGTCAGTCATTTAGGTACAACGTAGAACTTCGTACGTAAGTACATCAGTTCAGGTTGCCGTACCACATTAGCACGGAAACGCAATTGTCAATTCAAATCCCATGGGGTTAAAGATAGTAATGGCACTACTGCTAAGACAATTAGGGTTCCAAGATATTATTCAAGAAGTATAATTCAGTGAGATAGGTTCGGAAAGACAAAAGTAGAGGTTTTGACGAATCGAGAAGATTAACATTTGAGAGAACACAAAGAATGAATGCTCTTGCACCATTGAAAATGATTCTGAGCCATGTCGTTCAAGGTCTCCAACCATCACGACCGCAGCTCTTACCTTGACGTGGTGGTCGGGCATGACTATCGTGATGACTCAACCGAGCTATACTGGCTGGAACATGTGTTCCTGCAGGTCCTACCGTGCCAGGCAGGTCGATTGGCGAACGATGAGACTAAAAGAAGCTACCCTAGGTCTGAGGGCGTAGTCGTACTGCTGATTGTAAAAGAGTGTGACAGCAGTAAGGTTTTTCCCTCGGACAACCAGCATCTGCAGCGATTCTGCCTTCTCAGAAAGAAGGAAGGAAGGGGTTAAAAAAGGTTGACCCTAAACTTACCTCACGAATGTCCGTCTCCGATCGGTAAGGGCTTGTAAACAAGAACGGAGCTAATACCAGATCTTTGAGATCAACACCAATCTACTTTCCTTTTCAGGTGCCTCAAGAAACATCCAAGGTTTGTGCAGTCGGGAAGTGACATAAGCCCTCATACCTGTAACAGCACACGAGACCCAATTGGTCACAATCAAATCCTTTCTACACCCCCTAACATCTCTCTAATCCCTAAGACTAACTCTTCTGACATTCTTTTATCACGTTGCCCCTCTGCTGCAAACGATTCGAGTTGCCGAAACGTTCAACTAGCCTTCAGCAACACTTTGGTTTCCCACGATCTTCTCCAGTCATCCTGAATGGCAAATCGATTTAAGTCCTCCTAATCTACATGATGTTGAGAAAGCTATGGGAAATGTGAAGCAGCAGCAGGTCCTGATATGCTTACCCGTGAGATGTTTAAGGAGCAGCTACCCAAGGTCTGAGGGCGAAGTCGTACTGCTGACTGACTGCAGAGGGGTGTGAGAGCAGTAAGGTATTTCCCTCGGACAACCAGCATCTGCAGTGATGCTGCCTTCTCAGAAGGAAGGAAGGGTTAGAAAAGGTAGACCCTAAAAATGTCACACCTCACCCTACCTCACCTCATCAACGAAACCGGTATTAGGAACCATACTGTGAGTGAGACTATTTCGGAAAAAGATGGTCTTATTATCCATTCTCAATCCAGGAGACTGGACCGATGGGCAGAACACTTTAGGGGTCAGTTCAACTGGCCTTCAGCCACACTTCGGTTACCCACGATCTCCAGTCATCCTGAATGGCAAATTGACGTAAGTCCTCCTAGTTTTAATGAAGTTGAAAAAGCTATAGGAAATCTAAAGTGAGGTAGAGCAGCGTGTCCTGATAGATTGACTCCTGAGATTTTTAAGGATGGTGATCCAGTTTTAGCAGCTAGGTTGATTGAGATCTTATATAGAATCTGGGAACTGGACACAATCCCATCCGACTGGTCTCAATCACTGATTGTCCCAGTCTATCAGAAATGACAAAAGTCCTCTTGTGACAATCACAGGGGAACAAGTCTAACTAATATATTTTCTAAATTGTTAGCCTCGACCTAAAAGCGGCATTTGACTCAGTGGATCGTGAGGTTCTGTGGCAGCATCTGTCATTGAAAAGTGTACCAGAGAAGTACATTAATCTTATACAAGCTCTCTACTCGAACACCACTGGTCGAGTGAGAGCTTATGGCGAACTGTCACCGGAATTCTTTACTTCAAGTGGTGTCCGTCAGGGCTGTACACTTTCTCCATTCTTGCTTAACTTTTTTGTAGACATGCTCTTAGAAATTATCTTAGTTAGTCGTGGAGATAAGAGAGGTACTAGGGGGTGTAGTAAGGATTTGATTTTGACCAATTTGGTCTCACGCGCTGTTACGGGTTTTAGGGCGGATGTCACTTCACAACTGCCCAAACCGTGGGTGTTTCTTGAGGCACCTGAAAAGGAAGGTAGATTAGTGTTGATCTCAACGATCTGGGAGCGTGACCGCAGACCCCAAGGGACAACTGCTTGAGGTCGATCACGCACGTCATCCTGATTAAAGGTTTTTTGAGTACTACCTGAGCTCTTTTAAAGCCCTTAGTGGGCCTCCTTACCGCCGGAGACGGAAGTCTGTGAGGTAGGGTGAGGTGTGACATTTTTAGGGTCTACCTTTTTCAACCCTTCCTCCCTTCTGAGAAGGCAGCATCGCTGCAGATGCTGGTTGTCCGAGGGAAATACCTTACTGCTCTCACACCCCTCTGCAGTCAGTCAGCAGTACGGCTGGCTGAAGTCTTTACTATCATCAATAAGGATTTTAGATAATCGAAGCCTTCGTTTATGCTGATCATAATACCATACTCTCATCGGTATCGTGTTTTAAAGATCTACGGAAAATGACCTATCTTTATAATTATTCATAACAATCTAAGGAGTTGACAAAAGTAGTGTAGGTTTTTGAGTCAACTAGATATTTCAACCATCATGCGGTAGATATAACATAATCTCATATCTTACATCAGAACTCCATTCTCTACAATACTCTACATATCAGTAGCTTCTAAAGAAGACGTAAATTATTCATTGCATTTCTGTCTTTTACACTTTTAGAATAAATGCAGTTTGTTATAATAAGAGCACTGTAAACACCTCATCCATTGCAATGGTTATGCCTACATCTAATTCAGATTTTTATTTGATAGAACGCCTTGTGAACTGTGAGAAATGTCCTAACCCTGTATTTTCATCAGATTCTACCGATAATCTCCAGCACGACACAACGGTCTCGGATCTTCAAGTTTTCTCCAGTGACACAAAACCTCGAAACTCAATTTCATGTATGTCCCAATCACCTGGTGAATGCTCAGTATACTCCCAATCCTTTATACATTCTTTTAAAAAAGATGATAATTTTCCGGGATCTGACAATTCTTCAGTTGAAACTTGCGTGACTCTCACTAATTGCACTAAGGTGACTGAATGTGAAATCGATAGTGTTTGTTCTTTAGATCCGATCAAAATTATTACGCCCAACCTCTCGCCAACTTTATCAACTTCGAAAGTTACCTGTTTATCACCATCGCCATCACCAAGTTCTGCTGACAATACGAAGGTGACCGAGTCCCTGCCCAATCGTAGTCAGACATTGAAATACTTATCTAACCGTGCTTATCCTTTTGGTAAAGAATGTCGCTTCGTTTTCTACAGTCCTGCCGATAGTGATGAAGAAGATGTTTACAATCGATGTTCACCCAATCAAACTATCACTTCACTTATCAAGGCTCGCCAAGCACATAAAGATATGTGGATGAAGCGAGCTGATCGTATCAATCGCTTTCTAGCCCGTAGACCTTGTCGTGAAGATTTAATTTCTCAAAATATAATTCCCAGTACCACTTTGGAAGCACGTGCCGAGCTGCGAATTGATATTGAAGCCTCACTTGAGCGTCGACTTAATCAACGTCCTACAACTGATGAACTGAAACAGAAAAATATCCTTCACGGTAATTTTCATGTGTATTTGATTACAAAAAATTTTTATACTGTATACCGTAAAATAAGGTTTTTCTTTTATTCATGCTGAGGTGTTAAATGGCATATCATTTTCTTAAAAGTTCGGGATAATACTATTAAATACCAGATGATTTTCTGCATCAATCACAGTGTGATTTATGATTCCAAAATAAAAACTACAACAATGGTTTATTTCTTATTCGTAAATAATGTAAAAGTGAATTTAATTATATATATATATATATATATATATATATATATATATATATATATATATATAATGGAAAAATATCTGTGCATAATTCAGTCATTGCATATTTGTGCAACCTAGGCCTTCTCTTGGTACCAAAGCCTCTATTACTATCCGTATTAGGTAGACAAGCGACGATTTTCTTCAAAAGTAGATTTCACGGAGACTAAGTTCTTTACTTGCCATATACCTCATTCAGTAACTATGTTCTACGCAAGTCGCTTTTCAAAATGAAGGATTAATCGCAATTGTGTCCATTGAAATTAGACAATCCGAATCAGTCATTTATTCACATGTGTATATTGGTTCAGGTTACCATATCTCGCTATCACAGAGATGAAATTGTTGGGTTGAAACCCAAAGTAGTAGAAGTAGCAGCAGTATCAGTAGTTAAAGAAAAAATTAAGCATTGAACATACAATCCGAGAAAATACAAACTAATGGAATAAAAACCGAAAAATCGTGAAGAATTCCAAAGCTTAAGATCTAGGGTAGTAAAAACAATAAATGCTCGCGCGCCATGGCAAACTAATTTGAGCCATATCGTTTAAAGTCGCTAGCTACTGGCTGCGATTGTTGCGCGGATCCAAACTGGGTAGTCTGCACCTACTAACATGGCTCAGCCCATTTGTGGATGACTTCGTGAAGTGGTGCTATGTTTTGGTTTGTCCGCCTCTAAGTTTTTTATACCAGATGATAATACGCATCAAGGTCAGCAGTTTGGGGGTACGTAAAATATGCCCCAATCATCTCAATTAATGAAATATCATTATTCCATCAATCGATTTGCCATTCTTACCTAGTGCCCTTTTCCTAACAGCAGCATTGCTTAATCGGTTGTCCCAGGATATGAGAGCAACGCTTCGAAGGCACTTGTGACCGAATACCAGTAACTTACGAATATCTTCTATTCTCAGTGTCATGCTTCGTGCCCGTAAAATAGGATGCAGCAAACTGCTGCACAGTAAATTCGTGTTTTGGTCAGTAAACATTATCTCGTCTACTCCAAAAACGTTGGGATTTGGCAAAAGCCAATCAAGCCTTCTGAATTTCTATGAAAATCTCCTAAGAAGCCAGCTCATCAGCACTGATGAGGCTCCCAAAATTGGTGAATTGTTCGATGTACTCAACTTCATACCATGAACTTTATTCAAGCATCAACGCGAGCCAATCCTGAAGCAACATTTTGCGACTGGAGAGAGTAGTGTTACATATGCACCAAACAGCCGATTGAGTTAAGCTAGACAAACAATGAAGATTGGGTAGCACTGAAAATTCATTTTGTTTTCTTACGGCACTCGTCATCAGTTTGAAAAGTAACCTGTTTATATTTTTAAATTGCTCTTCCTCTGATCAATTAATTGTTATCTTACCTTCCAGTGGAAACAGAAGAAATGCGTAATAAAATCAAAGAAGAACGGAAGCTAATTTTAACTCGCAAGGTAAACCCTGCTTATTTATTCCTTGTTTGAATTTTTCTAATATGAAAAATTATCCAGTACAATAATTTTTGGCTTTAAAATCCCTGTCATGTAACTAAAATTGTAATTGTATTATCACAGAACTTCAAATTTTGTTCTCGATAGAACACTAATTTTCAAAACGGAAACTATATTTTTAAAACCTTCCAGTCGACCCGATGTTTATTTCGGTAGTCTGGTATAAGTTTCCTCAGGCAAAATGATAAAATACTAGAGTTGTCGAATATAAATATATTGATCACAAATTGGCTACGTACTAAGCAAATCGTCCAACCAATCTTAACAATGCTTAAAAAGTGGAATTTGTTGCATTGTGTAAACCAGTCAGTTGGTGCGAAATGCAAAGAATTTGTGGTATGATAAGAAGTATGCGTGAATGTATGCAGATCTGATATGAGAGAAAATCATTGACCACATATGGCCACAGGTTATTATGGTGTTTAATGCATTTGAACAATCATATAGATAACCGCATTTGTCACAACATGCGTGAAATGAGAATAATTGAACAAATGCATATAAGTTTGTGTTATTTTTTCGAAACAAGCTGCTTATTGGTTATATATCTCAACAGATAAACTGATTAAAACAAATGAACATATATCGTTGTTGTATACAAGTTGTGGTACGAATTAGGAGGGGTAAAATAAAACTCACACTTATTTATTATTTGTTCTGGCAAAACTAGTTATTTTTTTAACTCTTTTATTTACGTCACTTCAGTTCGCCCATATACGTAGGACTTAAGCTGTCAATTTATCTTTATACGAACAAAACTAGTTTTGAAGGGTTCTGTATATACAGACTCGATTGAAGGTAGCGCTATCACCGACTTGCTTTTGTTATAGATTTAAATATTTAGAAATATGCTTTCAACAAATTTTGTGTTCATCCATTCTTATATTCAACTGTATCTTACATGAATATGTAACACTTGACTGTCACTTTTATAGACGGAACTTGTACTGGTCTGTAATCTAGGTATTTTCTTAGGATGTGTTGACTTTCGGCATAGATTAATTTTTAAATAATTATTATGTTTTATTGTAACCAAACAGGGAAGAAAATGAATTTTTAGTGCACAGTTAATTTGTGAGCAGTAAATTTGTATGTGATAATTTTAGTTTTATTGCTTATCCTGAAGAAACTCATACCAGACTACATAAACAAACATTTGATCGATATTTTAATTTCAACGGCTGAGATGTTTCATAAATATAATTTCATTTTTAGTACTTTCCATGAACTTAGCGCTCAATTATTCAGTCAGTCAGTTAGCTACAATGTATAACTTCGTACGTACGTATATCAATCCAAGTTTCCATAGTACATTAGCAAACAGAGATCGAATTGTCAATTCAAATCCCATAGTAGTAGTGGTTGTAGAAGTAGTAGCAGTAATCAAAAATATAACTGGAGAAGTATAATCTAGTGAAATATATTTACAAAGAGAAAAAACGTTTTAAGGAATTTAAAAAGATTATGATTTGAGGGCATATAAAGTGGATGCACGTGCGCCAGTGCAAACGATTTTGAGCCATGTAATTCTGGGTCTCCGACCACCGGTCAATGGTGGTGTTGCGATCACCAACCTGATAGTCTACACGTACTAACTTAGCTTAGTTCAGTTGTCAGTGGTCCCATGGATTAAGGCCATGTATTTGTTTGGCTGCCCCAAGCATTCTTCAAGTTTACCTCTACATCGTCGAAGCAGTCGATGGTTGGGCATTCTCAACACACCCCAACCACTCAAACTGATGAATATCCACCATCTGATTTGCCATCCTTACATAGTTTCCGTCGCCTAACAACAGCATTGCTTTCTGGATGGTTCCAGGATAAACAAGCAAGACTTCGAAGACGCCGATGATAGAATGCGAGTAACCTAGGAATACTTACGTTTCCTGGTGGTAATGTTTCACATGCTTATAGTAGAACGGAGCGAACTGCTGTGCAGTCGATTCATCCTTTAGTTTATAGACGGATATTTTAACTACGTCATAAGTTTCCCAAGTTGACAGAAGCCAGTTGAGCTTTGTATCCGTGCAGAGATTTCGTAAGACACAAGGCCAACAGGAGTGACGAGATTCCCAAGCAGGTTATTTACTGACTAGAAATACCTGCTGCCGTTGTAGTGATTAGGCCGTTTAACATTCAAGCACTAATAACAGTTTTGAACCCACTTTCATCTATTTCGATTTGTGCAACCAGATGGTTTTTAGCCTCAGAAACTAAAGTTTGGCTCACATCTAAGTACCTTGTGAAAGAGTTAATTTATAACACTATAAATGATAATATGTTATCCCTCTTTAAGCATAGGCAGTTGGCCAGGGATGTCCAGCCAACCTTGTACCTTACTATAAACAGAAACATATTGTATTTTATTTCCATCCTTCACGAATTTATCAAGTCCGCAGATATCATGTGAGTAAAATAGCGTCGAAATGCAAGGTAACTGTGAGGATAAAAGCATGGTTTTGTTGGAACATCAAAACTCATACCAACCTACTTACTCAGCATAATGAATAGAATGTTTAAATAACTACCAGACCGTGATAATAAGGACCTATACTCAATAACTTACGCCTATCACCACTCTTGGGGCATAGGCGGTTGGCCAGGGATGTTCAGCCAACCCTGTCTTTGGCTTTATCTTCCCAGTTGCTAAAAAACAGTTTTCACTGTCATTATGCTTACTTCTCATTCGGTTTGACATTTTTCCTTCTAGTTTGAGGATTCCCAGTAACATACTGCCTTGTGATGCAATATGTTTTATCAATATCCAGAGTTGTTGCTTGATTTTCTTCTGAACTAGCAGCTACCTTCTCGTTTACAATGAATGGTTGTTGATGTTTTATGATCAGTGGTTTTGGGGTATTTTGCATTGACTGTTGTTTATGAATATATATACGTTTGGTAATGGTGGAGGTAGTCTTCGACTTTTCATCTCTGTTCAGTAAGCTGTTATAACGTGAGTGTTTAGAATTCGGGTTTCGGAGTTAAGGGAGAGTTATTTCGAGTTCCAAATAAACATCAGTTGTAGAAATGTCGCCCTTACTTTACTGGTTCGTCGCTTTATATTTGAAATAGATCGTGCTTGATTATCATTGACGCAGCCAAGGTACAAGAACTCTTTCATAGCTTCATTATCAAGCTTCATTGTATTATCGCACTCCCGGATCTTGCTTTTCTCTTGTGAATATTGAAGAATAATACTGCTGAAGCCACTGCTACAAAGGATGTATTCGTCCGCATTGGTTGCTGTGTATACAATAGAAAGATGAAGTCATTTTTCAAGTCCAAATCATCCAGATCCTTCCAATATGTCCATTGTATTCTATGCTTCTTTTAAAATGCGGTGTCCATAATTCAAAACCTTGGCTTACAACCCTTCGTCAATTCGGATGGATGTGGGAGTTGCCATCCATACACAACTTTGGAATTCCGATGAAATTCTTTCAGACGTTGAGTGAACCTTTCGTTCGGTTCACCACCATCTCAACAGTCTTTTAAGAATTTTGCCTGGTGCTGACGATAGTATGATCGCTAAAATCCCCTTCCTTTGAAATCTTGATTTATACCTCTTTTCAGTCTGTTATCCCTTTCTCATTCTACAAAGTCATTCCAAAGTGATGCCTATAACAAGCTACAGTTGCTGCTAGTACCAAGTCCATAGAAGCACAAGTACACTCGAATGAAAAGCTCAAGGATCCAGGATCATTAACAGTACCCTAAAAACAAAGAAGAAAAGAATCATAATGAACGCCATCCACTGTTCCGCACTCACCGATGATGTCATGACATTATTTCTTATTTTTCTGTTAACGCAAATATTTATTAAATCAATACTTCTGTGCAGACATGATACTATAGAAAAGGTTTTTTTTCGCGAAATTACGTTCTTTTCCAGTACGTTGAGCTTAAGTTTCTTTTCTATAGAATATAACTATAATTCATTCAGAAATTAACAAAGAAATACATGTACGCACGTTGATTGAATGAAAAAGCAGCTGCTTAGTCAGTTGGTATATTTGTTAACATTTTTACATCGAATTTAGGTTGTAACTGTTCAGTATCCTGTTCATTGTCCAATAACTCAATTATATGGTAACGAAACACTTGAAAGGTTGTCCAAGCTACAACTACAAACTCCATTTCTAAAGTATCTTTGACCTTATCAAGTCTGAAAATATAGCATTAATTTTTGGTCACTAGTCTAAAGGTTTTTATTTCAACTGTTTGATTTTTGCATAAATCCCTCTATAGGTGACATTTTGTATATATTATATATTCTAATTCAAGAATCTTGTTGTTTCGATTTGTGAGCTGAATAATTTACGCAGTAGTATCAGAAAATAAGACATCTATTTCTTATTGCAATCAAATATGAAATGATTCTTATTATTTCGAAACTAGAAAAGATTTTAAATTTCAGTTGGACATTGCTTGCTGTCAGTCGATAAAATTCAAAAGTTCCTATTGTATCGTTTTGAATGCAATCATAACAACTAAGCGAAACATACTAAACTCTGATAGTCTAATGATTCTTTGCAAATTATTTTATACTTATAACCTTCCTTATAACTTAGACTTCGTTGCTGAACACTTCTTACCATAACTAAACCTTCAAACTTCTAATTAGCTCAATGCCAAATTAAAATGAGTCCTGTATGCAAATTTTATACTCAGCCCATGTCTTCTATATTAATACACTTTTATCCAAAACATCTCACTCTTCATTTCTGTGACAAAAGTTGCTTGCTTATTTTATCAATGATACTAAGCACACAAGATATCTTACTATCAACCCTAAACCTGTTTACCGTTCTTAACATTCAATTTTTTCAAACAAAATCTTTTGATTTGTAATCTGAATCGGATATAATAATTAGTAAATCCAGCATTTTGTTCTATTTATTTTCACAAAATTCAATTTTACAAGTTTTTGTCTGTTAAAGTTAGATATTTGTGTGGCATAGTTTGAAATTATTCATTCTAGGTAATAGTAATATTTATTTGTTTGACAATCTCATCGTTTGTATAAATTGATTAGGTAAAATTTTAGTTTAGAATTATATTTCAAAACAGGGACCAATTTAATATAGCGATTACTTACTTACGCCTGTTACCCCAAACGGTCAGGATTCTTCAACCTACTCTGTCCTAAGCCTTCCTTTCCAGTTGTTCCCAATCGTTATTCATTCTTTTGATATCTGCTTCAAGTTCTCAGCGTGATATGTGCGTTCATCTTCCTACAGTAGCTTGTTGCTGATAGTATCTGGCCAACAGAGATCCTCAGTGTCTCAAGTACACAAATACTAATAAACACCTACAGCTCTTATAGATCTCCGAGTTTCCGCCGTTTGTATTGAATATTTTGACTTTGTTGTTGGTTGATTTGGTTTTCAGTTCTATAACTGTAGAAATGCTGCCCTTGCCTTTCCAATCCGAGTCTTCACTTCTGCATCAGATTCCCGTTGTCTATCACAGATGCTACCCAGGCATGCAAAGCTTTCTACAACTTCCAAAGCTTCTCCGTCAAGTATGATTTGGTTCTCATGTCCTTCTGAACTTTTTATTGATGCAAATGTGGTCGACTTGGTTCTGCGGAATATTTTACCTGATTTTAGTGTTATATTTAATGATCAAATAAACACTTACATTATTAGTCTTCGAGATTATTTCAAAGCAAAATGAACAATTAGTTTTTACTTCGATTGTGCCTGTGGAATTTATTAACCTAATTTGTCAAAACCTACAATTATTGGTAAAATGCAGATATAATAAGTTTCACGATTTAGCTTAATATGTTTAGCCAGACATATTCAATGTATAATTGGACACATTAGTACATCGGTTTGAGTTGCCACATCCCAACAACGTAATATATTAGCGTCAAGCAAACCCAAAATTAGTAAATGTAGCGACCGTATTAATGGTATTGAGAATAAATAGATATCAAAAATATGAAATATTGAGTAGAGAAGTTATGTAAAATCTTAGGACCCATAGAAGAAAGAGGAGTTACTGCATCTGTGCTACTGCAAACGATTTTAGCCATGTCACCCATAAATATTTAACCACTGGTTACGATGAATCAGGCGGACCCTAACAACGTGAGCTGCACTTCCGACTAGCGCCGTATCATGATTTTGCCACCTTTAGTTCTTTCTCACCTACTCCTACAACAGCAATTAAGACGCATGGGGGTTAATCCTTGGATCGTCGTGAGTAGTACATGTCTTAACCGTCTCAGAAAATCAAGATTCACTGCATCGTTAATCGAACAATTTTCTCTAGTACTTCGTCAGAAAGTCACAACTAGATAACCGAGTTTCTATAAGTTGATTGTTTTTCATTTAGTTCATGTGATATTGACTACTATGACTCAAAATATTCATTTCCGTCTTGCTAAATAGAAACAAAACCTATTTTTTCGAAAAACGTACTCAAACTCTGTTTACACCCTTTTCAATTATAGTTAGTTAACTATTGATTCATATAATTTCTAGAAAATCAAAATGGCTGTAATCTATCGTGTTGTATGCATTTGTGTGTACGTCGCAAGAAACAAGGAGTGTATGCAATCATGTGCATAGAATCCATTAAATTGTCATCTAACCTTACTCAAGAAAACAAGTTTATTCTGCCATAAGACTTTGATTGCCTTTTTCAATATATCTGTTGTACTTTGTTAAAAGCGTGAAGTTTTTTTCGCTTTTAATTATTTTTATGTACCTGTATAATCTTAATGATAAAATAGATGTCTCCCTGCACGTTCATGTGAATTACACAAATTTTTTATGTATAAGACTAGATTTCCAATATTAGATTGCAAAAACTTTTCGTATGAACTTAAGTCACGTATGACAGTAAGTAGCCATGTTTCAACACTTACATCTTAAGTTTTACATCGAAGGATATCAAACCTCAAGCAATATTTCTTGTTCACAGAGAAACCAAGGCAAATAATTTCCCCGTTTCTGGTCAAGAGCTACAAAAGCCCGTATCCTATCATTATTACTTAACAGATTTTCTATTCTTGAAATTGGTTCTTGGTAATTTGTCTGGACATCGTATATGACAAACCATCACTGTTCACTAGGTTTGAACACGATAATTTTCAACTTCATTTAAATTATCTAGCTGCGTATTGGAATCAACTTTTATAAACGTTTTACTGTGTTCTGCTATTGATTGAGACGATTCAAGGGAATGTTGCTTGATGCCAGAAATAGTTACGTCTGTTACTATAGTGAACTACATAATATCGAAACTGACTGCTAGCTACGAGAAGCCATGCAGTTCGCAACGGCGTTATTTTTAAGAGGGAACTCTAATAGGCTCACTTAATATGGGAAAGTGGCATCAAGGTAAACAACATATCAGAACAGTCACTAGTACGGATTCACCCTAGAATACTGTTTGCTATTAATGAAGGCCCCTGCCGTATGCAAAGCTTCCCTGATTTGTTTGTCTATCAGTTTGCGAGGTCTTGAAAGCCTCTGTGGTAGTTAAAATGAAACAGGTAGTTCCTCACGGGCCACTTTGATATGACCTACAGGCTAAATCCACAAGGAAGTTAATAACGTTATGAGATGTGCACCATTGATGACCGAGAGCGCCATGTCCCCTGACGGTACCAAGACACATAGACAAATATGTATTTGATAAGAGTATTGGAAACCGACATTCACTTTACTTGAACACTTTTCATCTTAATAATTTTTTGGTGACTAAAAAGTTCAATGTTTTTACTACCACTAACATTACATATTCAGCTAACATTTCGACCAACCGTTGAAGAGCTGCGCCGGCGTAAAATTATCCGTTTTAATGATTATGTTGAAGTTAGTGAAGCCGATTCATATGATCGCCGAGCCGATAAACCATGGACCCGTCTAACTTTACGCGATAAAGTAAGTATGCCGTTATTTTTTCGGTGAAACGTTAACCAGTTTTTGCTGTCACACATTTTTACCATATCTATGTGATTTTTTCATCTTGCAAGTGGTAAGCAATATTAAGTAATCATCAATACATAATGTAGTGGACATCTTTCATACTAGTTTGTTTTTCACTGCGAAACGTGCGTACAGTTCTAATAAATTTACTACTTGTTAAAATAAATGACAGAACAGCAGCGGCTAACACCAAGCACCTCGATTCTTATAACTAAGTTCTCTCAACACGATATCTTATCATCATCTCAGTAACATGCGCTAACATTATTAAATTTAGACTTGGCACGTGGCTAATCCTATGCAGTTAAAAGTTTTAAATACTTTCTGGCCTTATTTATTATATAGAGACAGGAACTATTATCTTATCCTGGGTAATTACGTTCATTTACTTGGATCAAAACTCTATTCCTTGTGCACAATCAGATACACCGAAGAGCAACGAAAAACGTCTTGTTTCACAATATTTTTATCTCGGAGAGGCAGATACAACGAAACCCAACGAGCTCTATCATTCGGTGGTAAATAAGTGGTATTTACCTTAAATGAATGTCACCTGTTGCGTTTCGTTTCAGTTCTTCACTATTTATGTCTAATTGGTAATATGTTATATATGAATATCATTTATAGGCTGATATTAGAAAGGAGTTGAACGAATTCAAAGCGACTGAAATGGATGTTCATGCCGAGAGTCGCCGATACACCCGGTGGGTTTTGATTTCTGAATAAATTTCATTCGATTCTGTAATGTATTTGCGTTAACTTCAGCTCAGTATTAACCAAATCTTATGAATTGGTGGAATTCACCTTCGTATAAACAGTCATGGTTGTCGTTCTTTAATAACAGTCAAATTTTCACCATGACTGATTATTGCCCACATTCAACTTTAAGAACAATGGCTTGATTGCAACCTTACCAGTTTTCTTTGAGCCTCACGTTACATCAGCTGAAGTGGTTAGGACATGAGTTACCTGTGCTTAACCACCGACTACCTCAATGAGTCACGTAAGATTAGGCTGAAGGAATATTTGGACATGGTGCCACAACTGGATCGAGACATGTTGGTAGATGTGAGGCAACCGTAAACGATGGTCGGACCTTGAATTTGAATCGCATGTTTCAAAATCGCTTGTACTTGTGTAGGTGCATCCATTCTTCGCCTTACCTCAAAATTCTAAGCTTCTCACGATCGCACGTTTCTCTTCAAATGTACTGCTCAAATCGCATTTTCGATCACCGCAAATACTTTTACTACCTTCATTGCAATGGGATTGACAGATCAATCTCTGTGCTAATGTGGTATGGAAACTTGAAGCTATGTTCGTACGTACCAAGTTCTTTGTCGTAGCCGACTGACGTAATTTTTGTAGTTGTGTTCAAAACACTTAATAATATCAAAAACTAAAGCTTGTTTGTATTAACATAATAATTTTTCATTAAATTTTCATTTGTTTTTACAGATATCACAAACCATAGGTACCCATTTTCCATATCTACTGCAGAATAAATTTCGCAGGGACTTGGCATGATGTAATAGTTCACCCCACATAAACTCAAATTAACATTCATAGTTCCTTTTGAAAACTGAATCTAGATTATTTTTTACCAAAATTGACCTAAACCTAGGTTGTTTTGAAACCAAACAGTTGTATATAACAATTTTTTTACATGAACTTGTTCACTTTTATAGATATCTAGTGAAATATTTCTCAGTCTACCGTTTTTTATCTTACAGTGATGATAATAGTCGGTCATAAATACAGTAACTGACCATAAAAAGAAAATTCACGCTCTCTAAAAAATCTAGCCAGATGATGGGGATCAATATTTATGTTGATAATAATCTTTGACATAGATATTTCGATTATTTAATTACAAAGATAAAACCATAACATAGCCTAAACACGATCATAAATAGGATTAATAATACTCCCCAATAAGGCACAATTCAGTACACATTAACAGAAGTCGTTCGTTCGAATTTGTAATGATGAAACACTTTTATTGCTTATATTTATGCTTTCGTTACTATTACATACAGCACCTTGAAGCAGGCGCGTAATGTTGGTAATACGTAATTTTCCTTTTGAACACTAAAGGAATATCAAGTATAACAAAACAATGTGGTTTTACTCTTGTTTGTCATGTTTACATTGGTTCGTTAGTTAGCTAGTTTGAAATGTTATTAACAGTCGGGCAGAAGTTGACAAAATGAAACGCGCGCAGATCGTAGGTCCAATACTTTTAGGTTGCAATGAGGTTCAACATAAATAAACTGCTCTCATAAGTCCATCTGAAAGTGACAGTGGAAACTGATAGTCTCACCTTACAATTATTCTAGAACATACGCAGGTTCGCGTACATTAGTGATCCAACGTGAATAATGCATTTTAACTACTGAGATCTCAGAGTCGTACATGTTACTCAGTTTGTGAAAAGAATTCTATGAGACAAAACTATGTTTAGTGAACATTTGTACCAAAATCTCAAGTCTAATTCCTTAAACATTCCAAATAACAAAATGTCTCGTTTACTGATTATCTATCAGATAATTCAGCATTTATTCGTAAGACAGATAACTGAAAATTGAACAAATTTCTGTTTTATCGAAGTCAATAAGCGAACGACAGAAACCCAAAAGAATATTTTATTGGTCGAAATTTCAACTCACAAAAACAAGGACAAATACGAAAATATGATAGCAAATTTGTAGTTAAGTAAATAAGCTAAGTCGGATGTTTTTAAAATGCTTACGATTAGCAAACACGGGGAAATTTATCAAGACATAAAGTATCACAAATTCATAAATTGTGTAGTGACCAGCATACGAAATAAATGTCACCGCTAATTAGCGCTTCATCAGCTATACGGGTGGGAAAAGGTGTCCAATCAACAGATACTGTTCATTCGATTATGCAAGTCAGTTGTGCATGAATGAACATCAAGCATTATTCGCAACAGGATATTAACAAGGTTTTTTTTCTACAAAACGAGAACCATATAGCAGTATGTATGCACAATGCCAATCGCCACCTCCAGATAAGCGCAAAATATCTTCAGATGTCACTTGACTGACGCGATCATCATCAAATTTAAACCATCTCCCTACATAATGATTGAAATAAATAATTAGAAAGAGTTTTCAAGGGTAAAATGGTGGTCGCCTTTAGTTCGTTGTTTAACATGAACTTCCTACACAAACAGCTTTTTATTGTGACAACAGATTGTATCTTCACAGTTATTCATGTAGGTATAGAAATCCTGAACCAGTATCAGTGAAATAAATGAAAGTTCACTATTCTAGTGACAAATATACCATAATCTAGAGAATAATTTTGATGGAACTATATGAAAAATACACTAACGCGCACTCACTGGGAAACGCGAATGTTTTATAGAAAACATTTAATCTTTGTCTAAATTGGGCGTCTCATTCCTACCACGATGTGGGCAGCCAGGAAGTGACATCCACCATCATACCCGTAAAAACACATGACCAAATCGGTCGCAAACAAATCCTTTCTACACTTAATAACTCTCTCATCTTCACGACCAACCCTCCTTTCGTTTCTGTCACTTTGCACTGCTGTAGCAAGCATTTTGAGCTAACGAAAAGTTTTACCTGATCTCCTGAAACCCCCGTTCAAAATTACATAGTGGAGCATTCAATGTTTGGAACTTGTGTCAAATAGGGCAACAGGCTTCCGTAACTCGGAATCTGGAATCCCATGCCAATGACGTGTGTTGCGTCTCCGAAACGGGATCCTGCTAAAATCATTAATTCGATTTTACCTTGTCCAGATAGAGAGTTCCCGAGACCTCGTTAGTGCAAGTATAGTAGTAAGTTCTAGGGCAGAACTAGGCCACTTAGATAGTCGTTTATGCGCTATCCGACTGAACGGAACAGTAAGGATTCGGAAAGATAGGGGAACTCGCCGTTGCCTCTTCGCCGTATCTGCCTACGCTCTCACTGTCTGCAGTTCAGACGAGGTGAAAGATGAGTTTTACAGAAAGCTTTCGGACCTCCAAAAAGTTAAGCGCTCTAATATAGTGATAATGACTGGTGACTTCAATGCTCAAGTAGGTAGACTAACTGAAAAGGAAAGACGCCATAGTGGATCTTATGATGTCGCGGTTAATCGACCGTCTGCTGCTACTGTGCTCACCCGACCGTAGCTGCTACCTTGACGTGGTGGTCGGGCTTGCCTATCGTGATGACCCAACCGAGCTATACTGGCTGGAACATATGTTCCTCAAGGTTCTACCATGCCAGACAGGTCGATTGGAGAACGATGAGACTAAAAGCAGCAACCCAAGGTCTGAGGGCGAAGTCGTACTGCTGACTGCAGAGGGGTGACAGCAGTAAGGTGTTTCCCTTGGACAACCAGCATCTGCAGCGATGCTGCCTTCTCACAAGGAAGGAAGGGTTAGAAAAGGTCGGCCCTAAAAATGTCACACCTCCCCTAACTCACGGATTTCCGTCTCCTTGGGTAAGGGTGCCCATTAAGGGCCTTTAAGAACGGAGCTAATACTCAAAAATCCTTTCATAAAATGGCCGTGCGTGATCGGCCTCAAGCAGTTGTCCTTTCGACTCTGCGGTCACGCTCTCAGGTCTCCAAGACCAACACTAACATACCTTCCTTTTCAGGTCCCTCAAGAAACATCCGTTTGCTGATTAAAGGACGAGTGTACTGCGCAGTGGTTCGCTCCGTCTTACTTTATGGCTGTGAAACATGGCCAGTTAGAGTAGAAGATATTCGTAGGTAACTGGTTTTCGATCATAGGTGTCTTCGAAGCATTGCTCGTATACCGTGGGACAACCGAGTGAGCAACGCTGTTATTAGGAAACGGGTACTAGGTAAGAATGGCAGATCAATCGATGAAGTGATGAAACTTCATCAGTTGAGGTGGTTGGGACATGTGTTGCGTATGCCTAACCACCGACTCCCTCGTCGAGCTTTGTTTTGTAGTGTAGGAATAGGTTGGAAGAAAGCTAGGGGCGGCCAAACCAAAACATGACAGAAATCCATGAAGTCATTGACGAGTGGACTTAGCCATGTCGGTAATTGTCGACTACCTGGTTGGGGTCCGCGAGATGATAATAATCGATGGCTAGAGACCTTGAATGACATGGCTCAAAATCGTTCGCAATGGCGCCAGTGCATTTATTCTTTGTGTTCTCTCAAATCCTAGTCTTCTGAGTTCTTCAACACCTCTAGTTTTTGCTTTCTAAACTTATCTCATTGAATCATACTTCGTGAATAATAATTCTAACTTCTCCGATTACTTCTAAAATACCTTTACTGCCTCTTCTACTATTGGATTTGAATTGACAATTATATCTCTGTGCTGATGTGGTATGGCGACATGAACTGATGTACTTACGTACGAAGTTCTACGTTGCAACTGACTGACTGACTGACTGCTACTGTGCTCAGATAATGGCCTATTTCTACCAAATACTAACTTAAGGCACTAGGAAAGATATCTTATGCCCTGGCGACCGCCGACAATGAACCTTACTAGTTCACATAGCTATCAGCCACCGATAGAGAGGCTCCATTTAAGACAGCCGCTCATTATGTAGCACATGTTCATACTCAGATCATGCCTTAGTGCGAGCGCGTATTTGTTTGCGACTTACCGGACGTAGGAAAGACACCGCAAGGAAACCTCTTTGGGTTCTACTTAATGTTAGCATAGCATATTTCAGGAACTATCGTAAAAACAGTTAGGCGGCCATGTAAGTGATTCCCATCCTGAGGCAGCTTGGAATGATATGCAAAGAGCTGTGGAAACAGCAGTGATATCTGCTAGTTAGGTAAACGATAGGGTTGGGTAGAAGTATTGAACCTCAGTAACATCTACCGAGTTGATGGATGCTCCAAAACTCAACTCGTTTAGCCTACGATATGATCGCGAAGTGGTGGGTAGCGAAGGCAAAAGAGATGGAAGAGGCAGTGAAGATATGCAACAGTAGACAACTGTTCAGACTTATCAAGGAAACCGGTATTAATAATGTAGGCGAGACTGTTTCGGAAGGATACGGTCTTATTACTCATTCTCAATCTAGGAGATTGGATCCATGGACAGGACACATTAGGGATCAGTTCGACTGGCTTTCATTCGAAATTCTAGATTCCAAGTTTATGTGGTGACACTAAGAAGGTTTTGTAATTTTAACGGAACCAACAAAACTGGTGGCTGAATTTAATCGTGACAATCTCTTGAGTAGTTCCGATATTAGTGGCTACGAGTAGGTCTTGATGTCGTGCATACTACTTTTTTAGCTGTTTCAAATTCATTTCTCGTTTAACCTGTTTACTTTAGTGGTAATATGTTATGACATGAAATACTTGGTATATTCTCATACTTAGAACGACATACCCTGTTTTTTCACCCAAGCAACATAATGTCCACTGGTACTCGTCCTACCCTGGTGGCTTAACACGCCTTGTAATTCGTAGTATCCAGAATTATTTGAACCAGGATCATCCGCAAAATAGTTAGGTTCGTAGAGATCAGGATTTTGGAATGGGTCTGGTCGTATATAATCTGGAAGAAATGTGTTAAAGTAATTAGATAACGCAAATCTGAACCTTTTGGTCTTAAGATATGAAATAGCCACAGGTGAAGCATTTGGTTACGAGTACTTCTCGTCAGTTGTTGGCATTCGTATGGGTCATCTGGTTGTAAACGATGCAGCTGAAAGCAGTTTTCTGACACAGTTATAAGAATGGGATAACTGACGCGCGGAATGTCCGATTCTTGAAGTTATTGTCAGATGACCGTAAACACCTTACAGAAAAGCCATGTTAATTCTAAGGTTCAGGGATGTATGTGGTCATAACTTAACTTGGGTCACCATTTTGAAATACTAACTTCAGCGTTGGTAGATCGTGAGGTTCTGTAGCTGTGTCTGTCACTGAAAGCTGTGCCAAAAAAGTACATTAACCTTTCCCGGGCCCTCTACTCGAACACTTCTAGTCGAGAGTAGAATGTGTTGACCACTTCACTGATTTTAAGTTTCATCAGAAGCGATGACCGTGTCTTAAGAAATCTCTGCACAGATAAGAGAGGATCAGCTCACTTCTGCCAACCTGCGTCATTTATGCCGTAGGCACGATATCCGTCTGCTAACCAAAAAACGAGTTCACTGTGAAGCAGTTTGTACCAGCCTACTATACATGTATGAAACACGACCACTAAGAAAACAAAACATTCCTAGGTTACTAGTATTTGCTCATCGGTGACTTCAAGGTATTGCTCGTTTGTCCGGAGACCATAGAGTATGCAATCCTGCTGTTCGAAAACGAGTACTAGGTAAGGATGGCAGATTAATTGATCAAGTAGCGAAACGTCATCAGTTGAGGAGGTTGGAACATGTGTCACGTATGCCCACACACTGACTGCCCCGACGAGCTATGTTTTGTGGTGTAGCATTAGGTTGGAGGAAAGCTAGGGGCGACCGGACCAAAATATGGCACAAATCCATGAAGTAACTGACAACTAGATTGAGTTGTGTTAGTACGTGTTTGTAGTCGGCGAAACATTAGTAACCGAAGGTTAGAGACTTTGAATGACATGGCTCAAATTTGTTTGCAGTGGCATAGGTGCATCCACTCTCTGTGTTCCCTGAAATCCTAATTCCTCATTCCATTCATCTTTCCTCAGATTTACTCCACTGGATTATACTCCTTGATTAATATCTTCTAACCCTAGTCTTACCGATTACTGCTCGTACTTCTACTCCCTCTATCACTATAGGACCGGAATTGACAACTGCGTCTATGTGCTAATGTGGTATAGCAACTTGAACTGATGTACGCACGTACGAAGTTCTTTGTTGCTGTTGACTGACTGTCTGACTGGTTTGTCCAACAGACGTGTTCTGGGAATAGAGTTCAATGCAGTCAAAGCTGCTATTATGCCTAAGCTACAACTAATGGCTTCGTCTGTAGGACCAAGTATTTACAACAGCTCGTACTTGAATTTTTTTTCAAATTTCGAAAGATCGATTGGCTACTGTCGTCGCATTTGGATGGTAAGACTTAATAAATAACGTAATATTAATAGATTTTTCAAAATTATGTCATGTAACTTATTTAGCGATAAAACAAACCTGGTTTATTTTTCAGGGGATTGGAAACTTCGTCTTCTTCTTTGAGGCGCTGTTTTTCCCGCATAGGTAGTAATTTCTGTTGCAAATCCGGAGTACAAAATTCATGCATATCCAATGTTAGAGGAAATTTTACATCCTTTAATATCTACAAAAGAAAAAATACAACAATGACAAAACCTATAAAACTTTAGGACCTTCAGAATAAAGACTGATCACTTGGAACTACGGGATACAATTTTATTAAAAATGTATCAGCGACGTTCCTCAGACCTTTTACTTCACATCATAAGGATTTTGTCAGGTGTAAATTCTAAAAGAAACTGTCTCCTGAGCCTATTAATTCATAGCTACCCCAAAGTTGGAATGCACGTAATAAGATAATCATTATTTAGAGCTAATTAAACGGGACCATTTTTAGAGAAATGATCTTATGGTATCTATTGCGAACATGACTGCTAGTTACCTCCAAGCAAGATTTTTTTGACTGATGAGTGTTATTCATTTTAGTTTGGAATTGTGATTTATTCATAAATTTGAACACTTAAAGCCATCCATATAATACATGCTGACTCACCTTTGCATTAATCTGTTTATCCTCCTTGTAGAAAAAACGAACAAAATGAATGCATAAGTAAGCTGGAAGTCGACTAATGAGAGACACACGTTTATACACAGCGTTCCGATTTAACAAAGACGAATGCTTTGTTAGATTTCCGGTTAGTCCATTTCGAATACCAGTGAGTAAATATTTCACATCTGCAGTAATTAGCAAATAATATCGTTAGAATGGAAACAATTTATTTCGTTTGGAAACTTAATTCAAAAATATTTGCCACAAAAAATAATGTAATAGAAAATGAAGCAGTAGCTTCGATGTCGGCATTGAACGATTTTGCATACACACATTTAGCAGGTTTCGCAATTGCGCAGCAGGACTAAGTACTTGAATATTTCTACTGTCACGTAATAATATAGAAACACAGTTAACATGACTTACATGTTTAGAAAGTAGAAAAAATGAGTAGCATTTCTGGAAACCATTTCACCAGGATACATATACACTATAAGGATTATAAGACTAAGAGGATTATTCGTGTTTATTTAACAATTCAAACCTACAGGGAGTCTGACTGACGACTGTTGTTTGAATTCCATTAAACGTAATTAATAAGGTCATTTAGTTACCAATAAGTTAGTTACCAATATAAGTTTAGATAATGAAAATGGAATTATTAAAATTCAATTAAGATTTTACCAGATCAGATAACGAAAATCCCAACACCGACTACTGTAGTTATTTGTTGTTATATCTAGAGTTTTTCCTCCATTATCCACTAATAATATCGTCTCGTCAGTGATACAGCCAGATTTTAATGCGCTATAAATGTAACGTTAGGTGGCGTAATTGTTGTTTTAAGTTAACCGTTTGTATTAGCTTGAAGTATGTTGCAAGACACCAAACAGTACACTAAAAAAATAGATACTTTTGTGCTGAAAAGATTAATTCGAACAAACTTGATAAAATCTTACCCTGATGCATAAAACAAGAAAGCTGAGTAAATGTTTCCGTACTATCTGTTTCGGGTTCATCTGATTCAGTACAACAAAGTTTGCAAGATAATCGACCAGTGAGAAATCTTTCAACAGGATTCCACTGCGAAGTTGTAAGGAAACTTTGAGGCAAACTCTAAATTACAAACATAGATAAAAGTATGAACACTTTTTAAACTTGAGGTTACTGTAGGATATCATTTTGTAAACATAAAAAATTGTATGACGCACAACTTGTAGAATCAATCTGCATAAGATATTGGTTTAATGACTTTAAAAAAAACCTCATTCTAATCCATAGTTATTCAGTATAATTGCAATGAACTACTTATTTCAAAATTATGTCAGACATTCAATATTGTACTGTGCTTGATAATACACAGTAAAGGTTGTTTAACGCGCCATTTTAAAGTTGTTTCAACCGTATGGCTATATGAAACCTAAAAGCCAGCAGAAAAATATTCATATATACTGAAATGTGAGCAACAGAAAACAATTACCGCTCCTGACGCATAAACTTCGGGATTTATCTTGCAACTTTGCAATGCTCTGATCAGCTCTGTCCAACATTCACTAGCGTCTTGTTGCTCAAATACACGACTGGCCATAGACAAAGCGCTTGGAGAGGAATTACTTGCATTAGATGATGCACGTGCGGCGAACTGTGGACAAACACTGTGCAAACAAGTCAAGAAGAGCATTGGAGTAACCGGTTTTTCAGTTTTGCTCAATGACGTGAATAAAAACTTCAAGCTTTCACATAAAGCATCAAGATTCGGAGAATCCAGCGAGGTTTTCGGAAAACGGCACCTGTGTGAAGGAAAAACAGTTACATGCACAAACGACAACCTTCAAAACATTAACAGATGTCAGTTATCAAGTTTATGCAATACCTTGACGATTCTTCTAGAACGTTAACTTAAATATGAAAATTAGGATATACATATTGAAATTTATCAGTATGGTTACTTTAGTATTATCTTTGTACTTTGAAAAACGTGCAACTTATTTCAATGCAAGCAATATAACTTTTAAATAACCCCGTTTTTCAACCACACTATGTAGTACTCGGATATTTTGAACTGAAAATGACTCTCAACCACACCATTTATGTCTTAAAAGTGATTGATTACAATACTATGGTCAGTCGCAGGGTAGAACGTTAATAGATTAAATTTACAATATTAATGTCAGAAATCAAAAAAGTCCACTTCATAAAACCGTACTTAGTAAGTGATTTCTTATAAGTTACCAGTCAGTTAATTCCTTTATAGAATTCAAAAGAATTCGGTGGGAATAATTTTTTTCTTTAACAGAAAGTATTGCATAGTGTAATCAAAACGACCGACTAGATTGAGTCAAATCATATGCAGAACAACAGGTCCATCATATAGACAAACTTAACATAATGGGAATTACTTTACGGTGTCTAACTAGTGACCTTCAAAACGATATCAAACATAAAAATAAGAAAAGCATCCCTTAACTGATTTTGGAAATATATGCTGCACAAAACAGTAATAACGACTAACCAAGAGGTGTTAACATTTGCACACAAATTCACTTATCATTAAGTTAATGTTTTGTAAGTAATTCTAGTAATTGTATAATAGTACCGAGACAAGGTATTGTTAGGATCGCCAAACCGTAGTTACCAAAATTAACAGTGGATTTTTAATACTAGGTACATGTTTTTGGCATTATAATCATCACCAGTCACATGTTACAGTGGCGCACAAAATCACTGTACACACAATAGCAAACAGAGTCAGGATTTGTTTGGAAGAAAATCACATTAAAGTCCAACCGTTAAATGACTAATATCATGAGCATGTCTAGAAATATCTGAATATACTGTACAGAAATTCTTGCATTTATCGTGTAAAGCTTTCGTGCGAGACATATTTGCTTGGATTAATTACAACAATTTATTTTGTCAGCATCTACCTTGAAAAAAAAGGGGAAGCAAATTAAGACGCTTACTCCTAACGCAAAACATTATCTGGCCTGAATCGAACTCCATGAGTAACATTTTATCATAACATACCGAACGAACCAAATGGATAAGAGGTACATTGGCTCTGATCAGACTGCTGCAAAGGATAAGAGTCCCGATCGCACTCAGCCCAAATGCTTTGCTTTATTTCACGGAGTGATCGAAACTTCTGGACAAGTATTTTAAAACCTGACAACACAATCGTTGAAGTACTTTTTCCTGACAAAAAACTCAAACTGATCTTTTAGGTAAACTCGAAGTGCACAAGAATTGCTTTCAGTTGTGGATTGCGATAGTGGTTTGAAACGTTCTAGACTTCAGTGACAAGTTAACTAAGTAGTTTGGTATGGCTTGTCCTGCTGATAATACATGAAACTGAGTGAGTCAGGAGAATCATTATATATAAAGCTGTGTGGCAAGAAAAACAATAAGTTTGAGTTTAAAACTCAGGTTGCTTGACAACAATCTGATTTTTTAGGACAGAATTTGGTTTATCGATAGTTTGATTGCAAAGATCGTTAGCGAAGGTTATGTTTTAACAGCTATCCTAGACAAGCAAGGGAAGACCCAACAAACTAATTAGAACTGCTCAATTTTCGAGAATAGTCATTGTAGTACATACTTGGTGACAATCACAGGTTTATCACGTGAAAAATTCAACGTTAAGTAGATATCGAAACATTCTGATAAAAAAATATCCCAAACTAACAATAAATTCTAGGAATTTACACAACGGAATCGTAAATACTGTCGAGACATTTGAACTCAGAGAACACAAGAACTTACATTTGCAAAGCTAAACGAAGTTCCGGAATCGAAAAAAGCAACTGCACAGCAGCATTCATATAGCAAGTATTGCCAAGATTCACGAGACCGGGTGGGAGTTTAAAGGTATCTTCTGTAGTATGAGAAACTTTTGGATCCTCCAGACAAGGAGTTTCGGTTATTGGTACTTCATCGACAGACCCAACAAGCATAATGTTGATCCCCTTGCTAATAAACATTAAAGTAAATGTACTTACATTTCTTATCTTGATACCATCATAATTTTCGTTTCCGAGTATTCCTCCGGGCATCATAATTTTCTGACGATCGGGTGGAATACCAGTAAGTGAAAAAAGTGACGCCTTGAAAATTTCAGGACTCTCATCAGTATTACAATCCACGTTTGAGTACCTATTCTTCTGCCACTTTACGTTAACTGTTTACAATATACATATTTTCAAATGTTAGATAATTCAAACCTTGATAAACGGGCATTTGTTTCGATATAACGTGAAGCAGGAAAGCGTCGAAGGTAGAATCAGTGAACTACTACATATATGAAATAACTAAATCTAAGAAGGAAAAATCGTACAAAGCGAAGTATATTGCAACCTAAGGTAACCAACGTACTCCCAAATCTTCACATCCAGCAAGACCGCGTAAGGCATGCAGATATTCAGTTAAAGCGCTGGCCCCTCAAAGCCGTGGATATGTTAAAACGTAATGACAATATTCAATATCCAATATCTTTTTCACGAGCTAGTGTAAAGCAATTTGATTTCTTCGCTCTCGATTCTTGTTCTTTCGGTACGGCTCCAGGTGTTCGGTAATGTCTAATGGATGGAGGTCTAGCCACTCGGCTGTCTAATTCTAGTCAGTTGCCAGTTGGTTGTAAGTTTATATGTCTCGGGTTTTGAATGAAAACGTCTGTTTCAGGGCAGTAGGGTTTCTGGATACTAGCAGCCGTCACATTACCAGACCGGAGGTCAATTAGTTGCAATGTGGAGAGTTATAAGGGTAATGAGGATAAAATTCTAGTGATAATATGAATAAAATTTCAGAACTGAGTAATATATAGATGAATTGAGTTTATTAATTGGTAGTGAAGATTGTGAGAGAGGACCGAAGTGTAAGCAAGGGAGAGGAATAGGCGAGATACATTAATTGAGTGATCTGAGGAGATGGCAATAGTAACAACTAGCAGGTCTCAAGATATGCATCAGGCACAGCTTGTCCAAGAGGGAGATGATAGTCCGTATGTGAGTACGTGATTATCAAGTCTCTTCTTAAAGCAGTCCACTGAGGGGGCTGTGGTCACCTCGGTTGGGAGAGCATTCCAAGTTGCGACGACTCGCAATGAGAAGAAGTGTGCACGAATCTGAGTATTTGCTGTTTGATGTGCAATCTTTCGAGGATTGCCTCGAGGGGAGTGGTGGAGATGCATCGGTAAGATGCTCACATTGGGATGGTTTGGCGTGTTTAATATGGTGTACGCCATAATCAGAACACCTCTGATTCTCCTGTAGCTCAGTGGGAAGAATCCCAAGAGCTGGAGTCTATCGTCGTAGGGTTTATTTTTCAACCCTATCACCCATTTCGTTGCTCGTCTCTGCACTCGATCCAAGAGATTAATGTCTCTTTTAAGCAGAGGGGGTGCGATGACGTTGTGAACCTCCAAGTGTGGGCGCGCGTACGTCTTAGAGAGGGTTAAAAATAATTTCGGGGTGATAGCACCAAGCTGTCTTCGCATAAAGGGAGGAGTCGCATTTGCCTTGGCTGCATCCCCTACATAGTTTGGACTGGTGTGGAGGCTTTCTGTGATTATTAAACCAAGATCGCGCTCTGAGGAGACATTAGGGAGCGGACTTCCAATGAGAGTATAGGTCGTTTGCGTCATATGTGGCAGGAAATGCATGACGTGGCACTTCGGTTGGTTGAGTTTCAAACCGTTTTTCACTGCGCATTTCTCAATAGATGTAAGGTTATCTTGAAGCTCAGTCGAATCCTCTTCGCTTTGCCAGTGAGCTAACTGAGCCTAGCAGGTCGTTAATAAATATCAGGAAGAGGAGTGGGCCTAGGATGGTCCCCTGTGAAACTCCCGAAGTGGATACTCTCCAACTCGCGTGCACTCTGTTTACCTTGGTGCGAAACTTTCTATTCGGTTAGGCGTGAGTGGGGCACTGTGTCAAAGGCTTTTGCGAAGTCGAGAAATACTACGTGCACTGGTATTTTACGGTTCAAGCAGGATGTCCAACTGTCCCATACGATGAGAAGATTAGATGCACACGACCTGCCTTTCCGAAACCCGTGTTCAGCTTCATGGAGTATTTTATTCTTATCCATGTACTCCCTCATTTGTTCGTCCACTAGTCCTTCCAAAACCTTTGATAATATAGGTAGCAGTGCGACTGATCTGTAACAGGCTGGGTCATTTATATCTCCATTGAAGATTGGAGAGAGAGTAGCTTGTTTCCATTCAGCTGGGAATTGGTGTGACTCCAGTGAATGCATGAACAGGTTGCATAACGGTGAACAGAGGGCCTCAGCGCACTGTTGCAAGACTATAGGGCTGATTTTGTCACAACCTGGTGACTTACCTGGTCGTAAGGATTTTACTTTCCTTGATACTAGGTCAGGAGTGATACGGATGTTCCCTAAGCCGTCAGCTGGCAATGGGTTGGCGTAATACTCTGAACATGTAGGCGCCTGGTTTAATTGATCAGAAAAATGGATGTTGAAGATGTCGGCCATCTCTAGGTTGGTGAGGTCTTCCCCATAGGCCCTTTTAGGGATCACAACCCTTGATTGGTAGGTTTTCTTTTGGACATGAATCTAAACAGATGTTTCGGGTTTGCCTCTATCCTGGCGGCTAGCTTCGTCTGGAATTTTCTCCTGCCGCTTCGAACTTTGGTATTGCATCTGTTCCTCAATGCCAAGTAAGAACTGCGATCGGAATTCTTCAAGGAGACCTTCCACTTGTGCGAGGCCTTCCGCTTCGCTTGTAACAAGCGTTCAGTGCCGCGCCTAACCCAGGTTCTTCTGTTCAATATATTTTGAGGAGCGAGTGTGGACAAATTCATTTATTTAAGCTCGATTCTTGTTTTTCCAGCACATCGACCACTCAAAGTTGTATATATGGATCCTACCATGTTCTCTATCTATTTACTGTAACAATGGAAGGAACTGGACAATGGACGTTATCAGAAACGACCTTACCTAAAACTATGCGCCCCAGAACTACTGTGAGGTTTCGAAATCACGAGAACGTCTACTGAGTGTTGAAAAGCCTAGTTAATGAACCCTACATCATCCATTTTGACATCGTCCACTTTGTAAGACCCATATTTAGAAGGCTTTGTTTGTCAAAATCCGTCCATGTATACATTTCTAATTTTTCCTTATTGGTTCGTTCACTTGCACATCCTGTTAATCTGTTCGATACCATTTGATATGATAATATTTGTATATTATTATAGTTTCAATTTCTTTAGCCTTTACTGAGTTTCTATATTTCTTTCTGAACTGCATTTATGTTGTTGATCTGATACTTAGTCAGGGAGACAGACATATTGATTTGTTCCTCTTTTGATTGTATTGCATGCTTTGACTGAACTTGTGCATTTTGATCGTGAATTGAATCACTCTTCTAGAATAGAAAACACTGGGTATTAAAGCAACAAAATATTATCTGTCGAACAAATCTGATCGACTTAGGAGGGATAGAATATCATTTATTTGTTGCTGTGCATTTGAAAAATTGAACAGTCGTTAATGGAATAGTTGTGGTAATATCGTTTAGGTAATGATTTAAATTAATATTATTGATGAATATTAGAACCGTCATTTACCCAACTCACTACTTTTTGGTTTTAAACTGGGCAAGGAGCATATCTAAACTACCTAGACGGTTATTCCTCAGTCCAAGCCTCATTTTGGATCAAACACACAAATATTTGTCTCCATTGTCAATTTTTATTTTTGGAAGGACAAATTTATTCAAACGATGATATATATATATATATATTAGTTTAGTAAATAATGTGCGTTGTTCATTTCTGATTTTCCTCTACAATCTCACTCTTGAATGAGTTTCAGCCATTTATCGTTTGACTGAATGACCAAAACGTCATGAATGGCATTTTAGGTTTTGTTTAGACTAGGGGTGCTAAACAAGGCCTAGGAACTGTTTTCATGTAAGCCCCTCTGGAATGTTTGTAAAATTTTTAGAGGGATTATTTCTAAGTAGATGTTTAAGTAAGTGGGTGAAAACTAGATTCTTTCCTGGTTGGACACCGGCAAGTAGTACGTGTTCTAGTCAAACTTTCATGATAGAAAACTTGTTTTTCAAGGAATACCTCGGATCACATTTAAAGGTGCACTGTATTTCCTCTTGTAAGAAGATGTTCTTGTAAGTTCAGTGAGATAATCACTAGTACAATCGACTATAATAATGAATCTTTAAGTTACACCAGTTACGTTCTCTTTACAAAAGTAGCTCATCACAGGCGCTCCTTTCCCCACTCGGTTCGCAAAAAAGATGACATTAGTGAAAGACCACAAGGCGATTACAGAGCAGCAATGAGAGATATTCAATGTTCCACCTGTAAACTTGTATACGGCACAACATTGCATATGCTTGGCAAATTTTTCACTCCACGGAGCAGCGGTTTAATGTACTTCAGGTAACGTCCAATGACCGTCCCTGTATATGCGAACACTGCTTCCGGTGTTAACTCGAATACAGCATTGACAGGTCGCTCTCCCTGAAGAGTTACTTACCTGTCCATATGTCTTCATACGAGTTGATTCTGTACGCAAACCTTAGCATTAATCTTACGAAGGACCTTCTCACGTGACCTCACGTCAAAAAATGACCTTTAAGGTTAACGGACGAAATCATCATTAATCGCCTCGAATCAGCACACGTCAGTGGCAGTGCCCTACCCGATAAATTGAGATTCAGTGCTAAACCTGTCCAACTCAATGAGGGGTTCCAGTGTCTCTTCCGAATCCCACGACAAATACATCAGAGACCTAATTCTCACGTCCCTGTAAAAAATACGCGCCGTCTGCAATGGCTACACATGAGATTTCGGCATCACGCCAGGGTCAGCAGACCACGCTACGCTTAACCGAAGCTGATACCTTGAAGTGGTGGTCGGACTTGCCTATCGTGATGATCCAACCGAGCTATATTGGCTGGAACATATGTTTCTGAAGGTTCCACCATGCCAGGCAAGTCGATTGGAGAACGATGAGACTAAAAACAGCTACTCAAGGTCTGAGGGTGAAGTGGCACTGCTGACTGCAGAGGGGTGTGACAGCAGTAAGGTGTATCCCGCGGAAAACCAGCATCTGCAGCGATGCTGCCTTCTCAGAAGTAAGGAAGGGTTAGAAAAGGTCGACCCCGTTCTAGATTACATGTCGGAGCTTTTAATGTACGGACACTGTGTCAAATAGGGCAACAGGCATCATTAGCTAGGACTTTAGAAACTCGTGCCATCGATGTATGCTGTCTTTCGGAAACGCGCATGCAGGATCCTAGTAAAATTATTAATCTGATTTTACCTTGACAAAATAAAGAAGCAGCTCGATTTACTCTACGTGTATCTGGAAGCCCTGATGCTGCTTCCAGGGGTCTTGCTGGCGTAGACATAGCATTGAGTCGTAGAGCTGAACAATCTCTCCTTGACTGGATCCCAGTAGATAGTCGCTTGTGCGCTGTCCGACCAAA